AAAGGAAGAGGGAGAGGGACGGAGTAGGGGGGAAACGGGGAGGGGGAAGGGAGTAGGGGGAAAAGGAGGAGGGGGAATGGGGTGGAGGGGGCGAAGAGCAGATTGACCATGCTGATCATATCAACGATGGCTACATCGAATATTGAACAGCAATTTCTCTATATGCTCACTTACTGCATGCAAGCCCAGCAATACTGCCCCCACCACTCACTGCAAGCCCCTTCAACCGGCCCCAGGTGTGCTCTCTCTGAAGTGCTTCGCAAATTCCACCCCCACTGTCTTCTTCTTCCAATCCCCCTATGCAATCACTCCAGCAACAACCCCTGTACTATCATATCACACCCAAACAGCAACCCCCTTCACTCACTGCGAGCCCCTCAAGCAGCCCCAGGTGCTCTCTGAAGTGCTTTGCGAATTTCACCCCCACTGCCTTCTCCTTCCAATCGCTCGATACAATCACTCCAGCAACAACCCCCATACTATCATATCACACCCATAAAAGCACCCCCCCCACTCACTGCAAGCCCTCCACCGGCCCCAGGTGTGCTCTGAAGTGCTTTGCGAATTCCACCCCCACTGCCTTCTTCTTCCAGAACTTGAGGTGGCCTGTTCAGGGTAATGGGAGGGGACAGGAGGAGGGGAGGAGGGGAGGAGGGGAGGAGGGGAGGAGGGGAGGAGGGGAGGAGGGGAGGAGGGGAGGAGGGGAGGAGGGGAGGTGGGGATGAGAGGAAAAGGAGCGGTGGAAAGAGCTATAAACCAAGCTCCACCCCCACTGCCTACTTCGTCCAAACTTGAGGCGGCCTGGATGGGGTTGGGGTTGTGGAGGGACAACGAAGGGATCAATACGTGTGAAAAACAAAATTAAAAGGTCAAGGTGGTAGAAATTCCTGGTTGATCATGCATGCATGCAACCACAAAAAAAAAAAAAAAAGGTTACGGAAACATCGCAACCTCTCCTTCCCCCCGTCAACCCAAGTTGCGCTTGTCGATATTTCTGGCCCTGCCATCAAGCGTGTTTCTAACCAAGGTGGCTTTTTGAGTCGACTCAAAAGTCGCCCTGCCATCAAGCATGTTTCTAACCATTACAACGCACCAGCCTGCTTATAACGAACCATATGCTTATAACGCACCGTCCCTGCTGCCTGTGATGATGAAATCAGCATCTGAGACGGCCACGTGTGTCACCCAGTCTCGGTGCATGTAGCTCTTTTCATACCTGATGCGGGGTGGAGGGGTGGAAAGCGGTGAAATGAGGTGGAACGTGGTACGAAAGGTGAGTCTGAGTCGGCCACATGTGTCACGCAATCACGTGCATGCAGATCTTCTCGTAACTGGTGGGTGATGGCGGGGTGGAAAGAGATGGAAAGCGGCGAAAAGTGGTGGAGAGAGGTGAGAGCAGCTAAGGCAACGTGTCTTCCCAGTCACGGTGCAACTGGTCGTTTAACTCCAATTTTATTCTACTCCCATCGACAATTAACTCACATTTCAGCTGGGCAGCGTGTCCCGGTACACTCGTTCAAAACTCCAGTGGCTTCTTGTCCTTCTTCTAATTCATAACAATCTACATCTTGTCCTGCGCATAGGGAATGCCGCGTCATTCAATCATTCGACTCACATCTCAGCGCTCGGCAGCGCGTCCAGGTACACTCGTTCGAACTCCAGCGGCTTTTTCTTCTTCTTCGCCTTAGGCATCGCCGGTCCCACCACTGGACCCAGATCCGCCGCTTCCGCTCCCGCTCCCGCCCCCGCTTCCACTCCCCTTCCGCCCGTTTCTGCTCCCCCAACACTCCGCCCTTCCGCCGCTTCCCCCGCACTCCGCCCGACCGCTGCTTCCGCCGTTCCCCCGGTTTCGCGGTTCTCCCTCTGCTGCCCCGCGTCCACGCCGTCCCCCGGGCCTTCCTCCCGCTCTTTGCGCTTTCCGGAAGCCGCAGCGATGGCGGTGGCCGGGGTGGCGGAGGCATCGCGGGCTGCGGGACCGTCGCCAGGTCTGTCGTCCGTTACTGTGCCCATCGCACGCGACTGTCTGCGACACGAAGGTGATTGACAGTAGATATTTCAGTCTAAGAAGAACGGGGAGGCTGTCGCGATGAGATAAACGACGCCTAATTTACGCGACGGACTGAATTCTAGCGGACTGATGAAGCAATGACAAGGACGATAAAAAATACCGTTGGAGGCAGAATTCGGTAGAAGTCAAAACCAGATTCAAAACCTAGAACTCCCCTTTCGCTTTCTTTTCATGTGTAATCGGGTATGTTTCGTTAGTCTGCATTACTGTTCTGCGTTAAGCCTATGCTTATAGATAATACGAATAAACAATGTTGATGTTATCAAGGCTGATTCCTCCGATCATATGTGGACCAATAGAAAGCAAGTAGATGCTTCCACTGCCCCATAAAAAAGCGTCAGAGCCGACGTGGCGAAGCACCACATCGGTGTTGGCAGCTGCTGACTGGCACATCAGAAAATCTGATCTCCAGCCGAGCAGAGCAATTCCCAGGCTCACCTCACTGCAAAACGTTTCGAACAGGTCTGACACGGTGAAAAGGCTTGCAAAACGTTTCCTTGTGGTCAATCGTGGCGTTTGAAGTAGAGAGAAACAAATCTCGAGGTTTTCTCGGCACAAGTCAGATGCTCATTAGCTCTGGTTTGGCACAAGTCAAGCTCATTTCACAGTTTCCTTACACCCGTCCTAGAATCTGGCTTGAAGCTGAGCTAGTTGGTTCCCGTCCCGAGTCTCCTGATCAAGGATTCCTCCTCTTCCCCGCCATTTCTTCAAACTATCTACGTCTCCGAGAACGAAATGGAGGCTCTTGCTGGTTCCTCTGCAGTCGCGTGAGTGAAATCCTCTCAGCATTCAGCCGTGTGCCCTCAGTCATTTTCTGTAATGCGCGGCGAATCCTCTTGTTTTCGTCTCCGACACTCGCCTTTCAATGGCGACAAGTGTCTCGCACTGTCGGGATCAAGTAGCAATATGCATGTATCTGTCCAGCGTACCATTGATTAAACAGTGCCGTTCATGCTTCGTCGTCGTTCATGACTCCTCCGTGACTTTCCATATTCTTTTCTATCTTCCCTCCTTGTTGCATCTTCTCCATGCGTGCAGCACCTCCTTGCAGCGGCTGGTCGCAAGGCAGTCGTCCGGCGCGTCTCTGCGACCCAATGCGACGACGACTACTTACAGGCGGTTAACCTGCACCTGCGCTGCTGCAGGTACTAAACATCCATGTATGAAAACCGCTCTTGATAGTCTAGTTTTGAGACGTCTCAAAACGCGACTACACGCGCAGGTAGTTAGCCTGCGCCTGCGCTGCTGCAGGTACTGAACATAAATGGATGAAAACCGCCGCCTGATGGTACCCTTGTTTTGAGACGTCTCAAAACGCGACTGCGTAAGCACAAGTGGTTAACCTGCGCCTGCGCTGCTGCTGGTACTGAACACCGAACGCGGTCGTATTTTTTAGGCGCCTCAAAAATAGACTGCTGCAGGTATTGAATATCGAACGCGGTCGAAGCCTATCCTGTCCGACACATTACACGTCGTTTTATCGTATCCTTTATTTGGAATGGATGGTAACCCTGTTCCCTTCTCATGTTTAACGAATGCAGGCGACGGCGATGCGGGTCAATCGTCGGAGCCCGAGTGGAAGCCAGAGCTGGGTCGCTCGATATTGAGCTCTTCGGTTTATCAACTTGTGATCTCCCCCCTATATCGAATCGTACTGCAGGTGACGGCGATGCGGGTCAGTCGTCGGAGCCCAAGTGGAAGCAGAAGCTCGCAGCGGCCGAGGCTCATGCGGAACAGACCAGACAGGCTACTGCCAGGGTAAGAATATAGGGAGTCATCTAACGAGAGGAGAGTGAGATGAACAGACAGGCCACTGTCAGGGTGAGAGTTGATTGGGTGTCAAAATTAGAGTGAAGAGACAGACACCTCCAGTGCAAGACTTGGTTTTTATTAATGCGTCAAAAATATAGATACTATACGAAGTACAAAGAGTCAAAACGGTAGTTACTATACGAAGTACAAGAGGACGAGGGATTCATAACTACTCTCGGCTTGTCAAGGGCTGGTATCTCGTTCTTATCCATAACCCTCGTTCACCGTCAGTAAGCCCCTCCTTTCCCCTAGTTCCCTTCTCTTGAAAGTGAATCTTGTCACTGGCGAATTGCACAAAGGAGTAGCGAGGTAGCTGGTGGTAGCGAGTTCCTTTTCTCCACACCAATCCAACCCACCCCCAACGCAGGTGCAAGAGGAGTATTGGTGTATGCAGATGGCACAAAGGAGTAGCGAGGTAGCTGGTGGGGCTCGAAGAGGTTCCATTTCCCCGCAACAATCCGACCCAACCCCATATTCATAAGCGCAGCTGCAGGACGAGTATCAGCGCAGGCAGACGGCCCAGAGGAAGAGGAAGGGCGAAGTGGTTGAAACGGGAAGGTCTCTGGGAGGCTTTTGAAATGGGAAGAGCGACGCTGAAGGTTTCTGCCGTTCCTTCCCCCCTCCCCTCCCCACTGTCTGTTTCCGCAGGCGCAGGAGGAGTATCGGCGCAAGCAGATGGTCCAGAGGAAGAGCGAAGTGAGTGGGGGAGCCGCAGCAGGACCAGCAGCAGCGGCGGCAGGAACAGGAGCAGCAGCAGGAGCCCACCCGCGTCTTGTGGACCTAGACTGGGTGCCGTACCTTACAGAGGAAGGGCTTTTAACGGATTGCACACAAGCAGGAGCCAAGGCGTCTGTGTACGCCATTTATGACGACGACAAAGTGCTACAGTACATTGGCGTGTCTCGCCAGGTGAGCATGTGCGGAGCACAGATGTGTTATCTTGTCTATGTGGAACGAGAAAACCGCGTGGGATACTCCCATGCCAGGTGGGCGGGACTTAAACTGACGGTTTCAGGATGTGTGCTTAAACTGACGGTTTCAGGATGTGTGCTTAAACTGACGGTTTCAGGATGTGTGCTTAAACTGACGGTTTCAGGATGTGTGCTTAAACTGACGGTTTCAGGATGTGTGCTTAAACTGTATGTGGGCCCTCCTGTGTCATGGGCCTCCAAGTTAACACCAGACTGCTGTGATGCTCCCCTACCCCCGTCTCCACCCCTCCCCCCACACCTCCCGTTCCCCTCCCTCCCACCAGAGCATGCGGCTGCGCTTTGCCCAGGTTCTGTGCGCGTTTCCCTTCCCGTTCCCCTCCAAGGCCGTGCTGGAGGCCATCAAGGGCCCCTAAGGACCTGTGGTTCTCAGAAAGCCCTCGTTCCTGCTCTCCATCTTCTCCTTCCTAGCTGCAGCAAACAGCTGTCTCGCCCTCCCTCCCTTCCTCTCCCGTCCGCCTCCCTCCACCCTCCCCGCTCCTTCCTATGCACAGGTGTACCAGAGCATGCGGCTGCACTTTGCGCGCGTGCCGAGCGCGTGTGCGTGGATGAAGGTGACGCACATCACGCGCCCCTCCAAGGCCGTGCTCGAGGCCATCAAGGACCAGTGGATCGCCGAGAACGGGGTCTCTCCCCCGGGGAATGACGAGGGGCCGGAGCAGAACCGCTGGGAGAACCCCCTTGACTGCAAGCCCCTGATGACCGGTGAGATGGTCCTAGTGGTTTCAGGGATTTTTACTGGGTCTGTACCTTCTTTTCTTTTGCAGTGCTCCGTTTTTAGGGCACGAAAGGAGGCTGGTTCAATAAAGAGAACTGAGGGAAAAAAAAAGGAGGAGAACGAAATCCAGCTGGAAATATAGCCAGCTCGTTTCTTTGTTTCCCTATCCCCTTCCGCAGAGGGGGAAAGAAAGTCAGTGGAGTATGCCACCCCTGGGCCCCCCAAGGTGAAGGCGCTCAAGGAGGTGGCGAGCGAGACGAGTGGAGAGGGAGCTTGAGGCCGTATTCAAGCCCCGGAACTGCAGGGAGGTGTTGCGGTTCGACGCCAAGCTCAACTGGTGTTCATTGTGCTTTGTGCCTGTCCTTTACCTGGCTCTGTGCAGAGGAGGAGAGGAAGTCGGTGGAGTATGCCGCCCCTGGCCCCCCAAGGCAAAGGCGCTCAAGGAGGTGGCAAGGCGAGTGGAGAGGGAGCTGGAGGCCGCATTCAAGGCCCGAAACTGCAAGGAGGTGCTACGGTTCGACCCCAAGCTCAAGGAAGATGGGTTGTTGGACCTCAAGAGCACGGCTGCTCGGGCTCCAGATACTGCTGTTCCAACCTCCACTCCGCAGGCCACCAAGGCTTGAGAAAAATGGCTTCTATGCCCAACCCACCATACAAATTAGAGGACTTGAGGCGTTTTTTTTTAATGAAATTCTAGGTGGTTCGAGGACACGAAGTTGTTACAAGAAATACTACAGTTGGTTGAATATAGCATATGTGGTTCGCTTTGCACATGTTGTTTCAATGGCAGAATGTAATCCAGTTGTACAAGTATTTCTGTACCGATTGTTAAACACAGGTGGCCTCACTGTAGCGCGAACGTCCACAGAGGGTGAATCCAATTCGCGAGTTGTTTGGTAACCACACGTCGTGACTCGTGAGCCCTCTGGCTTGTTCCGTACGAAGACCACCACCTCACGCTACCTCGCTCGCTTCAATCATTCCCATCGTTCTTCTAGAATCTAGTCTAGAGCCTTCCTTTCCCTACAGTTGGCGTTCTGTCCGCCCGTATCTTGAAGGACCGCGTTTAGGGACCGTTCGATATCCGATATCGCCGATTCTTTCGCCTCGTCCGTTTGATCCGTCTTCGCCCGATTTCGTTCACGTCCACTCCGCCATTCCGTTCGGTTCCTATTCGCGTCCTTTGCGGCGGATCTGACGCCGGCTTTAGGGTTATCGATCCCTCTAGCGGTAGATTTTAGGGTTCGCGATCTTTTCAGATCCGGATTGGATTCGCGATCTTTGGATTGGATTCGCGATTCCACCGTTCTCTTGTGCTGTGAGCACATCTGACGCGAAGCGGGTAACCTGGTTTTCGCCACCATGAGCTCATCTGCGACATCTGTGCTGACGAACGTCGCCAGGCTCGCGATCACGCTTGGCGTGGGTGGCAGCCTGCTTAACGCGTCACTCTATACGGGTACGTGCTAGCCCGCGTCAAAATCTCGCCAGGATCAAGGCGAATTTCGCCAGGATCCCGCCATCTCGCCATCCTCGCCTGCTATTATTTGTCGGCTGGCCGTTTGCATGGCCATCGCTCTCTCGAGGCGGTATCTCTGCGTTTCATTAACGGCAGTTGCCCCAGTAACGCCTCCAGCACTTGTCAAGAAAAGCATACGTTACCCTACCCGATCCACTAGCACTTACCGCGTACCCGATTCTCTACCCAATGCGCTTGTTCCGCGGAGGGCTGGAAGGAGGCGCAAGGCGAGGGCACGCACCTCCTCATCCCCTCTCCCCCGGACCCCGCCCCCCCCCCCCACCGGGTCTCCCCCCAGTCGACGGCGGGCATCGCGCGGTGATCTTTGACAGGTTCCGCGGGCGAGGGCAACACCTGTCCTCTCCCCTCTAGTCCGCCCTTCCCAACCGATTTTTGAGGCGCCTCAGAAAATTGTTTTTTGAGGCGCCTAAGAAAATCGTCTTTTGAGGCGCCTCGGAGAGAGGTGCAGGGCGAGGGCAACACCTGCCCTCTTCCCTCTAGTCCGCCCTTCCCCAACCGTGTGCCTTTCTTATTTCCGCAACCTTTCATCTCTCCCTAGTCGACGGCGGGCATCCCGCGGGGTGATCTTTAACAGGTTCCGCGGGGCGTTGGATTGGAGGAGGCGCAGGGCGAGGGCACTCACTTCCTCATCCCGCGGCTGCAACACCTGTCCTGTGCTCTTCTTCCCCCCCCTCCCTTCCCCAACCGTGCGCTTTCCCTCGTGTTCTCCCTTTCCCCCCTCCCCCTTTCCCGCCTCCCCCTTTCCCCCCTCCCCTTTCCCCCCTCTCCCCCCACTCTGCAGTGGACGGCGGGCATCGCGCGGTGCTGTTCGATCGGTTCCGCGGAGTGTTGGAGGAAACGCAGGGCGAGGGCACGCACTTCCTCATCCCCTGGCTGCAGAAGCCCTACATCTTCGACGTGCGCACTCGCCCCCGCTCAATCACTTCCGTTACAGGAACAAAAGGTGAGATGAGGTATACGCGTTGTAGGATCAAGAGTAAGTGGGGAGATGCAGGGGGCGAGGGCACGCACTTGCTCATCCCGTGGCTGCAAAAGCCGTATATCCTCGATGTGCGCACTCGCCCTTATTCCATCACCTTTGTTACAGTCACAAAAGGTGTGATAAGGTACACTCGCTATAAGGTGCATAAGGTAAGATGAGGCATACTCCGTTACAGGAACAAAAGGTCAAGCAAGGTATGCTCCCTTTGCCACCCCCTTTCTTCGCACGGCGCCCCCCCTCCCCGTCGCTTCTCCCCTCCCTTTTGGCTCACCAGGTGTCCAGATTGTGCGCTTGACGCTGCAAGTGCTGTCAAAGCCAGAAACCACCCTCCGGCCCACCACCTTTTAGAGCCTCTTGACCATCCCCTCTCTCCCTTACCCTCTCCTCCCCCTTCTCGCATTCCCAGGGTGTTTTTGAGAGTTTTCAAAAATCACCCTGCAAAATCTTGCCCATCCCGTCTCTCCCTTACCCTGTCCTCCCCCTTCTCGCATTCCCACCGCCCTTCCTCCCCCCGTCAGATCTCCAAGTGGCGAATCTGATGCTGCGAGTGCTGTCCCAGCCCGAGACCTCCCACCACCGGCCCACCATATTCAAGACTCCCGTCGTCCTTAGAGCCTCCTCCCTACCCCTACCCCTCTACTCCCCCCCCCCCCCGTATCTCTCCAGATCTCCAAATGATGAATCTGACGCTGCCCGCCTGCCCACCACATTGTGTTTTGTTTTTGAGAATTCTCGAAAACAAATGGTGAATCTGATGCTGCGAGTGCTGTCGAAGCCAGAGACCACCCACCTGGCCACCATATTCAAGAGCCTCTTTCCCGTCTCCTCTCGCCCTTCCCCTATCCTCTCCGTTCTCCCATGCCCACTTCCTTCCACCTTCCTCCCCCCTCCAGACCTCCAGATGGTGAATCTGACGCTGCGAGTGCTGTCGAAGCCAGAGACCACCCACCTGCCCACCATATTCAAGACTCTTGGCACGGACTACGACGAGAGGGTGCTTCCGTCTATTGGCAACGAAGTTCTTAAAGCTGTTGTGGTGAGTTGAGAATGCTTGTAACGAGTACACTAGCTTTATAGGTCAGAGACCACCCACCTGCCCACCGCATTCAAGACCCTGGGAATGGACTACAACGAGTGGGAGCTTCCGTCTATCAGCAATGAAGTGCTCAAAGCTGTTGTGGTGAGCTGCTTGTAACGAGTATGTTCTGCTCTGCCTCTCTCTAGCTTTAGGTTAAGCAGTGGGCTAGAAACCACCCACCTGCTCACCATCCATCTCCAAGAAGAGTTTTGAGTCGACTCAAAAGTCCTCTCTCTAGCTTTAGGTTAAGTAGTGGGCTATCCACCCACCTGCCTGCCCGCCATCCATCTTCGAGAAACTTGGCACGGATCTCATAGGTGACTTTTGAGTCGACTCAAAAGTCACCTCCGGATTTCAATAAGAGGGTTCTGCCTTGCATGAGCAATGAAGTGCTTAAGGCGGTTGTGGTGAGCTTCTTATAGCGAGTATGTACTTCTCTGACCTAGGCTCGGGGCACGGTTTTTTGGAGAGGATGCTTCCCGCTCGTCTTTCCATTTCTTCTGTTTTTTCTTTCTTTCTTTCTTTCTTTCCATTCTTATGTTCTTCCTTTCTTTCTTGTTTTCCGTTTCTGCAGGCTCAATTCAATGCGGATCAGCTACTCACGGAGCGTCCATATGTGAGTACAGTGCATCTTATATTGAGGGTAGCTTGTACAGAGGACAGTTTTTCTGGATTCTTGTATACAGTATAGCTTGTTACGGACAGCTGGTTAACAGCACAGTCTGAAAAGCGTATGAAGGCGTGTGTTTATATAAGCAACTGTTAAGCGACTGTTAAGCGACTGTTAAGTTGATTCCCTGACTGGCATACGGGATATTGTCCATATGCTGATTGCTCGGGCAGTTTTTTATTTTCCATATTATCCGTCCCTTCACCCACCCCGTCCCTTCACCCCCGCGTTTTCCACCATTCGTTTGAGGCGCCTAAGAAGTAGACCCCTCCGCTTTTTTGCATATCAATCACCCAGCGCGTCGCAGCTGGTGAGGGAGGGAGGGAGCTAACACCCTCATTCACCCACTCACCTTTCACTTCACGCCCTCTATCTGCTCCTTGCCTTCAAACCATGACAGGTGTCGAAGCTTGTGCGGGAGGCGCTGACTCAGCGAGCCAAGGACTTCAACATCGTTCTGGATGACGTGGCACTGGTGAGATGACGTGGCACTGGTGAGATAGTAGTGATGGTGGTAGACCCATGTACAGTGCCTTGCTCCATTAAATCCGTATGTCAAGATTGATGGCTTCTTTTGAGGCGCCTCAAAAACTTGATGGCCTCGCATGCATTCTACTGACACTGTTGATCCCATACGATCCTTTTCAACTCCATTGCATTGCATACCCACCCCCCCACCCAAACCCACACAGTTACACACCCCACCCATACCCACACAGTTACACACCCCACCCATACCCATCTGCCCTATGGCGCTGAGTTCCCATTAGATTTGCGTCGACTCAAAAGTCATTAGACTTGAGCATTTTACCCTGTTTTGCTCATGTCGAGTTCCCATGCCAACCATTCCAATCACAACCTGCTTCCATTCTAATTGAACCTGGATGGAATGCATTGAGTTGCATGCATTCCACGAGTCCCGTGCATTCCATGAGTTCTCATGCAGGTTCAACCATCCAATCACAACCATTCCTCACCCATCCTCTTGACCCCGTCCCGTCCCATACCCACCCCACCCCACACCAGACCCATCTGTCCTATGGTGCTGAGTTCTGTGTTTAACTACCAATCTCGACCCCGCTGCACCCCACCCCACCTCACACCAGACCCATCTGTCCTACGGTGCTGAGTTCTGAGTTTCGACTACCACTTCTGACCCCCATGCCTACCCGCTGTGCTCCACCCAACCTACCCCACCCCAGACCCATCTGTCCTATGGTGCTGAGTTCTCAAAGGCCGTCGAGCAGAAGCAAGTTGGTGAGTTGGGTTTCTGGTTTTCAGATTTTGGTGTGTGCAGTGCGGTGCGTACTGCACTTGAGTGCATCATGTTAAGTCGGTTGAGCAGAAACAAGTTGATTATTTGTTGTTCTTTTCTCTACCTAGTTGCTTATTATAATGTGGTTCTTCGCCGCGAATGATTAGTGTGGTATTTTGCTGCTTATTTGTGATGATGTTTTGTATCAATGAAGTGTGTTCGTGCAGTAAATTGGTTTGTGCAGTAAATTTTGAGTCGACTCAAAATACATTGGTTTGATCGTCAGGCGTGTCACCTTTCACACCTTCCGCCATTATTCCCACCTTTTCATCGCTATTTTTGAGAAATTCGAAAAATGGTTCTCACCTTTTCATCTGCCCGTGTGAGCATCAACAGCCCAGCAGGAGGCCGGGCAGCCCAAGTTGGGCGGAAAGGAAAGGAAAGGCAGTCTATATTTGGCGGGCCATTTGCTTCTGAGTCGGCTCAAAGCAAGTTGGGCGGAAAGGAAAGGAAAGGAAAGGCAAGGCAGACTCTATTTCGCAGGCCACTTGTCTTAACGCCCTCCGCCTCCCTTCCTATTTTCGTTGATACGATCACCAGCCCAGCAGGAGGCTGAGCGGTTCAAGTGTGTGGTGTGATGAAGGCAGAGCAGGAGAAGCTGGCAGCCATCTTGCCTCGCACCGTGCACCTTGTCACCTTCCCATCTTCTCACCTTCTCACCTTCTCACCTTCTCACCTTCTCACCTTCTCACCTTCTCACCTTCTCACCTTCCCATCTTCCCATCTTCCCATCTTCCCATCTTCCCATCTTCCCATCTTCCCATCTTCTCATCTTCCCATGTTTCTCTCAACAGCCCAGCAGGAGGCTGAGCGCTCCAAGTTTGTGGTGATGAAGGCGGAGCAGGAGAGGCTGGCAGCGGTTACACGGGCAGAGGGCGAGTCAGAGGCCGCCAAGCTGGTGCGTTGCTGGGTGTGGCTCGCTGTGAGGTTGTGTGGGTTGTTTTGTTGCCCGTGGCTTAATGTGCCTGCGTCAACTCAAGAGGCGGAGCAGGAGAGGCTGGCAGCGATCACGCAGGCAGAGGGAGAGCCAGAGGCTGCCAAGTTGGTGCGTTCTGCACCGAGGTGTTTCTGTTGTTCGTTATGTTACATTTTCTATTGGATCCACATGTTTTTTTCCGGTTTCTCTTGCCCACGGGTTGGAGCGCACCTTGAATTCCTTGCATCTGCCTGCAGAGAAAAGTCCCTGGGCCTCCAGGTTTTGGATGCGCCGGCTAATGTTGGAGGGACGTTGATAGAGCTCAGGCGCATTGAAGCGGCGAGGGAGATCGTTTCAAAAGACCCTTTCAACTGTTTCCAAATCTTATGCTGCCCCTTTTTGAACCTTCAGATCTCGGATGCGACGGCGAACGTGGGAGGGGCGATGATAGAGCTCAGGCGCATTGAGGCGGCGAGGGAGATTGCTGCTACACTTTCTCGGAGTCGTAACGTCGTCTACTTGCCTGGTGGTAACAACATGCTTCTGGGGCTCGGCACGGGCGGCACTAATTAGTTTACTTCATTTTGGTTGCTCCTAAGCCGGGGTGCGATGTGGTTGGTTGCCCCGTTTAGGACAGATTTCTCTAAAATTAAGCAAAAGGCATGTTGTCGTGCTGACGAGGTATGTTCCAGTGATGGAAGCCAAGAATGTGAAACTGATGTACTGGAGAGGAATTATGCACATGTACAAACGATTTTCGTAGTTTCTTGAAAGGTTTATGGCATAAGTTGCAAAGATATTCGTATGTAGAGCGTTTGTATTGCGTCTTGCATAATTCGGAGTGCTCTACGTGGGATTCTTCGACGGCCTAAAATCTCAGCCAGATGCAGCCGCGCACAGAAAGCCCGCCCTGAAGTGCCACCGAGCCTAGCTTCTGATCTGACGGGTTTGTTTTCAGCGAATCGCACACCTCGCTGCAAGTCGCACACGGGACATCCGTCTCACGTCGAGAGTCCCCAGGTTCACTTGAGGCTTGTGGTGGGCCGTCGTCACCTCGGGCAGAGGTAAACTTTACACCAAGGAGAACCGGCAACCTCCTAGGCTAGGGACAGCTCGAAGCTCCTCCGAGAGCTTCGGATGCGGGTCCAGGGAGTTGAGTTTAAGGCAACCCGTCGTTCCAAGTTCGATTCATCGGAGCGCTGAGCAGCTCCACGAGGATTCGGAAGTTGGCGATGAGGACGATTCCTGCATCGTGTCATTTCGGCCGAACCTAGCTTACAGGCAAAATCGGATGTTATCCGCGGGGTGACACGAGACCCCGAGTTCGCCCCTCCTCGTGGTTTGGGGTATTTCATTCTGTATGGGTGAAAATGTCGTTCGGCTAGGAATTATCACCCCACACAATTCCCAAACACCCAACTGTTTTCGAGAGCCGAAACTTTTGCTTGCCAGAAACTCTTCCCAGATGTCGAATGGAATCACCAAACCTCCACCTGTTGATGCATCTTTCCGTCAATTTCGATTCGCGCCTCGGTTTCAATTTGGGAGACATCCCGAATCGCGAAACGCCTCCAAGCAGCCCCTCACGTCAAATCACCTTGCCGTTGATTGCGGTTCATTCATATGCTTCCTCTAACCTCGTTGCTCCCTACTTGATTAGGAGTTCCAGGTTGGACCCAGCTCGGTCATACCTGAGTAGGGAGGTCATTTTTACAGCGCATATGGGTCTCTAACGTTGCTAGGCATAGGCTTCTGATGCCTGGCGAAGACTCTGGGGCGTATTTATCCGTACATACTTCGTGGCTTTTTAGGTACCTCCTGCGCCTCACGACACGGCCACTTGAACCTGTCTGTAGTTTGGACCTAATAACGGTTGTTCACTTGAAAATCTGTTCCCTGTCTACCGGCTATTTACTGAAGTGCGACATTGTAGACTCAAAACGGGCGCTTAACCTCCTGAGAAGTTTCCCGCCACGATGATGCGCTTCGAGAATGCCATTAGATTTCATGAGCGTTGCCTCATAAGCCCTAATCTCGTGCAGCGCCTCCCTTCTGGGAATTCCGGATCTGCGAAGCGGCGGGACAAGCGCAAGCAAGGGCGAGGCAAGGTTGTGCTTATAACGGGGTGCTCCGTTGGCGGCATCGGATATGCTCTTGCGGAGTAAGTACTCCCTCACACGCACGCTCATACGCACGCCCACGCACATGCACACGCACACGCACACGCACACGCATACGCACACGCGTACGCGCACGCACACACACACCTCCATCTTGACGTTCCCAATATCGTGGTTCCTGAATTTCCCGATTCCGAATGCTGGAAACAGGCATTGAACGTTTTTGCGAATCTCATAACAGAGAGTTCGCGCGTCGCGGGGCGACAGTGTATGCGACGGCTCGGCGACTGGAGGCGATGGACGGGCTGGCAGAGCTTGGCGTGCGACTGCTGCCGCTCGACGTCACGTGCATCAGATCCATCCAGGTGCGAGTTTTTTAAAAAGACGACTTTTAGTTGGATTGAACGAAACGGTCCGTATCTTGACTTCAAAGGAACGCTTTGGCCCGTTTCCCTGACCCGGGGTCCACATAGGTCCACACTGGAATAAAAACGAAATCACGGGGTAACATTCGAAAAAATCTCGTTCCTACACACTGTCCAGGACCATTGTATGATACGTGTGCCGCACACTGTTCTCAAATCTCGTTCCTACATTCTCCCCGATCCCTTCACACCACCGTTCTCCCCCACTTCCGCAGTCTCTTCTTCCCCTCAGCCATGGTCGAATCCAACTCCCCCTTTCGCCTCCCGTTTCTCTCACGCGTGGCGCCTCCTGTTGGCAGGAAGCAATCTCTAGAGTGACGTCGGAGTGTGACTGTATTGATGTGCTGGTGAACAACGCGGGATTCGGCGCGCCGTCTCCAGTTGCTGAAATTCCCCTCGATAGACTGCGACTGGTTTACGAAACAAATGTCTTTGGCGCTGTAGCGCTGTCGCAGGCAGTGTTTCCCCACATGGCTGAACACGGTAGCGGGACCATCATTAACATGTCAAGTGTCAGCAGCTACACCCACCGGTACGTTGCAATTACTTCCGTTCCGAAGTAGCTCCTCTTTGGTACAATTACAGCTCACTGCGCCCTCCCTTCACTCGCCTCCCGCTCAACTCAAAACGCGTTGCTCCATTGTTTCGGTGGGTGACCTTATCAGCTCTCACTCACTATCCTGTTCACTACCCTCTTTGATTCACATGCTTGCACATCGCTCATTTCACAATACCTGGTGCTTATTCGTGCAGCAAAACGATCTGGGGTGTCTGCATTCTCATCATCTCTTCATGCGTACTTGTATTGGTTGTTTCGTTCCCTGCAGCCCCTTTACGTCAGCCTACTCAGGAAGCAAGGCAGCTCTCAACGCGGTTACAAACTGCATGCGAGTGGAAATGAAACCGTTCGGGATTCGCGTGGTGCTCGTAACACCTGGTTACATCCGGACCAACATCTTCAGCAAAACCGTCGCAGATATGCCGTCAATTCCAGATGACAGCTTGTACAAGCACCTTGAGTTGCGCATGTGCCAGTCGTACGAGTATCGCGCCGCGGATACTGGCAACCCACCTGCTTCGGACCTGGCTGAGCGAATTGCTGACGCAGCGTTTGCGAAGCGGCCACCAATTCGGGTCGTGTTTGGGCGACATGCATTTGCAGGAGTGCTGTTCGGTTCCCTGTCCTCATGGCTACAAGATTGGATATCCACACGGCTGTATGGAAAGGGACAGAATCTATAATGGTGTTGTCAACCAATTCTCATAATAGAAAAAGGTTTCTTTGTCAAACATTAGTATATCTAGTGTTTGTATAGACTGTATAGGGTCACCTTTTAGAGAGTACATTCCTTAGATATGTATGCTTGTACCCAGGTTCTCTAGTCATTCTATTACTCAGTTCTAAGATGGTATCAGCAGTAGGTAGGTCCCACCGCCCGCCCATGCTTCCGCCCTAGGCCGTAGCCGCCCCCGCGCCCATCCTAGCTGGCCCCCGCGCCCATCCTAGCTGGCCCCCGCGCCCGTCCTACCGGCCCCCGCGCCCGTCCTAGCTGGCCTCGCGCCTGTCCTAGCTGGCCCCCGCGCCCGTCCTAACGGCCCCCACGCCCGTCCTAGCCGGCCCCGCGCCCGTCCTAGATGGCCCCGCGCCCGTCCTAGCTGGCCCCGAGCCCATCCTAGTGGCCCCCGCGCCCATCCTTACCGGCCCCTCAGCCGTCCTAGCGGCCCCCGCGCCCGTCCTACCGGCCCCCGCGCCCGTCCTAGCCGGCCCCGCGCCCGTCCTAGCGGCCCCCACGCACGTTCTGCCGACCCCTGCGCGCGCCCTGCCCGTCGATCTCCGGCCCCGTGCTCACCTTCTCGCCGGACTGCCGCCGATCTGCGTGCGGCCTGCTCTCCGTACCTGCTACTGCACTGCACCCTCCCTGGTACGGTTCTCCATCACCTTGCACCGCACTGCACCCCCCTGCACTGCACGGCACCGCACTGCACCGCACGGCACTGCGCTGCACCGCACTGTACCACGCTGCACCGTACTGTACCGCCCTGCACTACACTGGACCGCGCTGCCCTGCCTCCCCTGGCCCTGCCCTGCACTGTTCCTGATGGCGGCAGAGCTTCGCATCGACGCTGAAGGTCAGCCTCTGGAGTTCGAGGCCTGGCTAGCCGACCTCCGCCGCCACCTCACTGGTCAGCGGCAGGATGGCCACCCGCTCTCGGCACACCTTGACGATACGCTTCCCTGCCCAGACCCCCCGGCTGTGCTGCCCGCTGACCCCAGACCTGCTGAGCGTGAGTCTACTGCGGCCGCTGCCCTCGCTCGCTCTGTCTGGCTTTCCCGTGACGCTGTCGCCCAGCTTGCCATTAGCAATGTCCCCCCCCCACCGTCCGAGCGTCCTCGCTTTAGGTCTATCACCACCGCCCAGGCTTTCTTAGACGAGCGTCCTCACTGGCACTTCTACCACCCGCCGAGCGTCCTCATTGGCACTTCTACCACCCGCCGAGCGTCCTCACTGGCACTTCTACCACCCGCCGTCTCACCGGTTCTTTCACTCTCGCGACGTCACCTTTGACGAGTCCGTCTCCTTCTACCGTCGCTTCTCCCACCGCGGTCCCCCGGTTACTCCCCCCCTGTTCCTGGTCACTCCTTCCGCGGTGGTCCCTGTCCCCCCCCCCTCCCCCTCCCCGTCCTGCCCCCTCTGGTGTGTCCCACGTCACCCCTCTCTCGTCAGTTGTCCCGGTCGAGGAGTCCTCTGACTCTGGTGGTCCTGCGGCACAGTCCTTGCCGTCTGCCCCTCCCCCGGTGTCTCCTCCCCCACAGCCTCGGCAACCGCCGTCGCCCCTGCTCTCGCAGCCGTCGTCTCCGCCGTCTCCGCCGCCGTCGCAGTAGCAGTTCGTCGACTCTGGGGGTGCCCGCGTTGGGGTGGGTGCTAGTATTGGGGTTCCTGTTGTGGCTTGCCCCGGTGGCCCTGGGGGTGGTACTGGTGCTTGGGGGGTTTCGGGCTCTGGGGGTGTTCCTTCTGGGGGTGCCGGAGTGGAGTGTCCCGGAGGTAGCCGAGGAGCAGCTTGCGGTCCCGGTGTTGGTGGTGTGCCTCTGCAGCAGCAGTCCCCGCCGGTGTCAGCCCTTCGCCTGCTCGGCATTCCGTCCCCTGACCCTGCGTCCATTCCTCTCCTGCCGTCTCCTCCTCTTCCAGTCTACGGCCCTGTGTTCCCTCCGCCGGACTCGTCCCCGACTCGTCTTCCCCCTCGCTCCCCCCTTGTGTCCCCTCCTCTGTCTCCTGACCCGATGCCTTCGTCTCACATCTGGTCCCGCCGTCCCTCCCGCGCTCGTCATGTCTCCCTTGTCACGTGCTCTCATCCTATGTTGCTCCGTTCTCACGCGTCTCGTCCTCCCCTTCCACCGTCGCCTCCTTCGTCCTCTCTTACCTTTGCGCCTCCTCCTCTGTCTGACTACCTTCGTGCCGCTCGTCCTCTTGTTCCTCGGGTCCTCGCCTCACTCGTTACCGACCCGTCTGTTTCAGTCTCGTGTCTTGACGTTCTTGTCGCTGCGGTCGCAGACTTCTCCTCTACCCGCCGCCTTGACTACGCCACCGCTCTAGTCTCTGACCCTGCCTGTCCTCCGTCTGTCGGGGGTGCTCCTGCCCTCGGCAGTGACGTCCTGGACCGCCAGTTCAAGCTTGCTTTCCTGTCCGAGGCTGCTCCCCATCTCTGTTTCTTGCTGCTAGTCCCTGAGGGTGACCCAGACGCTTTCGACATCCCGACCCCTCGCACTTACGCTGAGGCGACCTCGGGACCCTGGGCCTCGCAGTGGATAGCTGCCATGGAGCAGGAGATGGCATCTTGGAGATCCACCGGCACCTTCGTCGACGCACTTCCCCTACCTGGGGTGAACGTAGTCGATGGCCGCTGGCTCTTCAAGGTGAAGCGCCCTCCTGGAGAGCCGCTTGTGTTCAAGGCGCGCTACGTGGCTAGAGGCTTCAGTCAGCGTGAGGGGGTGGACTTCTTCCAGACTTTCGCTCCGACCCCGAAGATGACTACTCTTCGGGTTCTGTTACACCTAGCTGCTCAGCGTGACTACGAGCTTCACTCCCTCGACTTCTCCACTGCTTTTCTTCAGGGCAGCCTACACGAGCAGGTCTACCTGCGTCGCCCTCAGGGCTTTACTGGCACCTTCCCTCCTGGTACCCAGTGGCTCCTGCGACGTCCCGTCTACGGCCTCCGGCAGGCTCCCCGTGAGTGGCACGACACGCTGCGTGCTACCCTAGCTGACCTGCAGTTCTTTCCGTCTTCCGCAGACCTCTCACTCTTCGTTCGTGCTGACCAAACTCCGTTCTACATCCTTGTGTACGTGGACGATCTGGTCTTTGCCACAGCAGACAGGGACGCACTGGCCTCCGTGAAGGCAGAGCTGCTGAAGAGACACACCTGCACTGACCTTGGAGAACTGCGCCGTTACCTTGGCTTGTAGATCTCCAGGGACAGAGCAGCGCGCACCATCACCTTGACTCAGTCACACTTGGTGCGCTAGGTCCTTCAGAGGTTCGGCCTTCAGTTCTCTTCTGCACAGCCGACCCCTCTGCCAGTAGACCACAGACTCTCTGCTCCAGTCGCTAAGGAGTCAGTAGATCCCAGTGGCCCTTACGCAGAGCTGGTGGGTTGCCTAATGTACCTGATGACTTGCACTCGCCGAGATCTCGCATACCCTCTCAGCATCCTGGCTCGCTTTGTGGCCACAGGTAGACACTGACCGCAGCACTGGTCTGCCGCTAAGAGGGTTTTGCGTTATCTAGCAAGTACATCGGGCATGGGGTTAGTGCTTGGAGGACGCAGGTCAGTGGTCCTTACTGGACACATAGACGCTTCTTGGGCAGACGACGCCGAGACACTCAGGTCTTCCCAGGGCTACCGCTTCAGCCTTGGTTCAGGTGCCGTCTCGTGGAGAGCTACCCGCTCCTCGTCTGTTGCCTAGTCCAGTTGTGAGGCCGAGATCTATGCTGGTGCCATGGCGGCACAGGAGCTCCGCTGGCTGACCTTCTTGCTCACTGACTTAGGTGAGCGGCCTAGCTCTGCCCCGGTCCTGTACACGGACAACATGGCCATGATCCTCCTGTGTCAGGAGCCTCGACTCGAGGACAGAGCGAAGCATATCCAGCTGCGGTACTTCCTCCTGCGCGAGCTACAGCAGCGCCGCCAGGCTCGCGTAGTACACTTGGCCTCCGGTGCCAACATAGCTGATATCTTTACGAAGGCGCTTGCGCCTAGAGATCATCAGCGGCACTGTGTACAGCTTGGACTAGTCCCTGTAGTCTCTCACTTGCTAGGGCTTTGACTTTGTACTGTCCTCTATATATATATTTACTTAGACTGGACTTGTGTCCTCTCCCAGTGGCTGGACTAGTAGTGCCGCCCTGGTCTTGTTCTTGTCTTGCTTGTACTCCTGTTCACTGGTCTTTAGACCCTTGTCTCAGTGGCTGGACTAGTAGTGCCGCCCTGAGCTGCTTGTTCAGGAACTGCCCCTATGCAGTCTAGGGGGTGTGTCAAACATTAGTATATCTAGTGTTTGTATATACTGTATAGGGTCACCGTTTAGAGAGTACATTCTTTAGATATGTATGCTTGTACCCAGGTTCTCTAGTCATTCTATTACTTAGTTCTAGGATTGTTCCCTGGCACAAACACCCTTTAGTTGCTGTTCTTGCTCCCCTGATTTCTGTCCCTGCTGCGTGCTCCCCAAGCGTCCCTGCTTCCCAGATGTTCTTGTTCAGTGCCTTTCATCCACCCCTCTAGTTCGTCTACCCTCCCCCACCACCGCTCCCAAGGCCCCCTCCCTTGTTTTTCATCTATCTTCCAACCTCTTCTCCCCCCCCCCCCCCCCTCCCCCCCACCAAAGCCCTCCTTCTATTCTCTCGCTGTCCCCCTCTGTATCCCTCTCCTGACGATGCTTTCTTCCATTCCATCTGCTCAATTTCCATGCCGCTTCCCCTCCTCTTATTTCCTCACTTTTTTTCCCTCCTTCCTATCCTGCTCCTTTCCTCCCCTTTGTTCTCGCCATGTCTTTTCTCTCCGCCTTTCCTGCTTCCCTTTACCCCCTTTGTTATTCTGCCCATCCCTAACTCCCCCTCAAGGAAGACCAATTGCGTGAATTATGACAACAATACGCAAGCTGTGGACAAGGGCATTTCTCTATACTACATACACAAATATGACATGACATATCTAGCATATACGGAGTATGATACATGTCAGCAGTTTACAGAAAGCAGTCCCTGAGAAAAAAAAAATAAAAAAAATACCGTAATCACCCGGATAGACGCCCCTAGGGACGTTTACTAGACTGGTTTGAAAACATGGGGCCCCCCTAAGTTTTAAAAAATATAAGCCCATGGGCGTTTTAAAGGGATTATATGGAAATTACAAGTTTGACATCGACATGTAGCTGCTGGTTTGTCGTGTGCAATGGGAGTAATGTTTGGCGAGGATTCAAAGTCTATCGCGCTGGAAGCCCAGTCAACGAGGTGCCAGGTTGGAAACTTGCTTTCCTGATACGAATCGTGCTGGCGCGAGGTGTCAGAGGGCGTGAGTTCCGCTTCTGACGAGCACAAAACGAGAATCCTCGGTACTACCTGCACCCGTTCGGTCTATTTGTACAGTGTTTCAACTGGGGGCTTATAGGGTATACATGTTCTGAAAAAATAAGGGGGGCTAATAATCTAATAATAATTGAAGTCCCAATGGACGAGTTAGTGCCCATGGGACTTATCCTATGGAGGGGCGTCTATCCGGGTGATTACGGTATTAGAAACGTTTCGAATGTCAGACCTCTCGGAGCTGGATTCTTCTGTTTGGGGGTTTGAAGACCTCGATGTCATCCAAAAGGTCAGCTGTGAGCCATTTCCACTTGGTCTCAAGAATATTTCCCGCGCAGAAATGCGTGCATGCTGGCTGATTTGTATCCTCATCAGGTGAGTTACACCTCGGAGGCCAAACAGCTGGCTTCGGTTTGGAGCGAATGGAATTGTTCTCCACGTCGTCCTGGATTGGACGAGCCTTGCACTGAAACGTGACTGGTCGGGTGACATTAGCGGGATCTTCCAAAGCGCTGGCGGAATATTTCGCCAGGAGAATCGCCCAGTAAAGGCGACGGCCCTCCCAGCTGCACACCTCGCTCGCAAGCCGATTGGCCTGCTTCACAATTCGCTGGGCTTCGTCATCGTGATCACGTACCCATTCGATCCGCTCAAATAAATTGGAAAAATAGCGGTGCGTAGAGACGAAATGCCGATTCGGGCACAGCAACGGGTCGAAAAACTGCGTATACTCGCTCCCCTGCTTGATCAGCATTTGGTTACTTGACAGAATTCCGCACACGCGCCCGCTGCCAGTTCCGCCATCAACATCCAGCTCGTACTTGTAGCCCTGCAGCTCCGACGGGCCGAGGCGATTGCCCATTTCAATCCCATCGTCACGCAGACTGTCTTGAAATTCCGCGTCCACAGTCGATTTTAAGCCGCTCGCGACGACCTTCGCGTCGAGCAAGTCGGGTCTCAAGTCAGACATCCGGTGCACGCGGAAGCGCGGACTGGCTCGCCACTGCCGGTCGTAGCTGACGCGGAAGTTGGTCATCCCGCCGCGAAACACGGCGCGGCTCTGCTTCAGCTCCCAAGGCACAGCATCCTCCCCGCTCCTGAAATAACTCGAGCTCAGATCCACCGGGTCGGGGTAGAGTATATCAATGCTCCCGGGAGCGCCGTGCGGGCTGAAAATCGGGAGGCCGGCGCGACGATCCGCGATCGACGCGGCTTTGCTGATGTGCAAGTCGCAGGTGCTGAGGTAGAACTCGGCGTTGAGCGAGTGCAGCTTGTACGTTTCGATCGCGTCCTTGATCATGAGAATCGAGAAGACGAAGCGGCGCATGCGGTACCAGTGGAACTCGAATCCGCCGAAGCGGAAGAAGATCTTCCCGTTGACTATGCGCACGTGACCGGAGCACGAGAGCACCTGCGTAGTAGCGTTTCGTGGTGGAGGAGGGGAGGCGCGGCAGCGGTTGCGTCAGAACGATGTTCAAACGGGGCCAGTCGCGGCAGGGCATGGGAAACGTTACGAGGCAAACGAAGCTATCCGATCCGATCCACGCTAAAAAGAAGACTTGAGCGCGGGGAATGAAAACAAGGCTATGGTAGAGAGCCGAAATGTGAAGAGAGGAAAGGCAATGGGAAGAGACAGAGCGGAAGAAAACCGCGAAATCAGCTTCTTTTGTACTCACGTTCGCCATCCGGCCCATGCGGTGTAAGATCCTCGGGCTGATCATTCCCCGTGCGCCCATTCCCTTCTTCACGCCGGGAATCCCCATCCAGGGGCGCAGATACGAGTGCGCAAGGCACGCCAGGCGGCGCACGCGGGAGGAGCCGCTGCGCGCAGCCAGCTCAGGGAAAGCCGCGAGATCAGCCACGCACTCGTCGTCGCTTGCAATGTCGGGGATCCCGCAGGAGCCGAAACCGGCCTCGTAGAATCTCTCGACGGTTGTCTCCGCTACAGCCGCTACAGCCGCTGACTCAGTCACTGCGTTTCGCGAGCTCTCCCCGTGATATTTCGAGGGTGATGCACTGAAGCTGTCGGATTCGAGTTCCTTCGTAGTGATTCCGTGTTGAAGGTGGCTGCCGACTAAGCGCCGGACGGGCTGATTGCGTAACGCCTTGGCGATGTCGAGCTGGTTTCGTTCAAGTGTCTCGCTGGGGCTGTCGTCATCCTGGCATTTTAGGGGGGGAAAACGGATTTGAGTACAAGGTGAATACAACAAATGGGGGGGTTGGGGTGGGGGGGACCGTGGGTTCGGCCCCCCCTAATATTCTCACTTCATACAGTTAGGCATGCTAAGTCGGACTTTTTGACTGTGTGAGCGCCGTACGCTGGCATCATGCAACTCACCATCAAGCTGTTAGGCGTGCTGCAGAAAACAAACGACGAGCTGGCGAAGAGCCAGAAAAGCAGTGCTAGCAGGCATCTCGAAGCGTGCATATTTGCGCCTGTCACGGTCAACGATGCTTATTTGGTCCGAGCGATCAACACAGGAGCTGCTGTTTTTCTGGACGAGAGTTGAGATGTGAGCGTTTGGAGTTGCTTCAGCAGAAGTCAATAGGTAACTGATCGGGATAATTTTTTAGAAAGTTGGTTGTGTAGGTGAGCTTGGGAGATTGTTGAGAAATTTATCCCGCGACGTGAATTGCGTCGCGTCGCGAGTGTCAGCATTCGATAGCTTCCAGGCAACCAGAGAATTCCGCTTCGGCCTCATGCTAGCTGGTGCTGGCCTCTGATGTCAAGCGAATTCTTTTACGACAAGGGGTGGAGCCTGCGGTTGTGATGAACCTGCACTCGAAACGCAGGTGCCGCGTGATTCGCGATGGATTACAGCACAGCATAACGAAACAGCAAGGGCACTCGCCGAGCCAATCACTCGGGTGGATCGCGCTGCTACTGGGTGACCTGAACCCGAAAAGTTGGGAGATGCGGCTCGAAAGTCGTCGAGGTCGTTAACGGTGGGTATGAAGACCCACCTGAGGAAAACTCGCTTAAAATACTCTCCGTTACAACGACAAGGCTGGAAGCAGGGAGGACGGCTTCTAGAATGCGGAGACTAGATTCAACATTGAAAATTAGAATGTTCCTGATCCAACCGTTTTACTATGCGCAGATCAACAATCCTAGAGAACGATCGCAAGTGAGTTTCCCTTGCGAACCTAGATGCCTCGCACGATCCTACGTGTACACCCATTTCAACACAAAAATATCACTTTGACTGCCCAGACTTGAACATGCAAGTTTACAGTACACTTGCAAAATCCTCGCCACGCCACACCAGACTGGGAAATGTGTCAAACATATTTTGTATATATTTTATAGGCTAGATAGGTGCGTACTCCTAGAGGGTACAACCATTTAGGTCGAATTCCTACATTGTTGATCCTGATCAATGACGGTTTTTTATCCTGGCGATTTACAGATTGCCATTCAACAATTCCAACACACCGAGCACACAGTCGCGCGCAGATTGATGTGCGACCACTTCGCGCGATGACGTGGCGCACAAAAACACTCCCAGCCACCGTATTCGACCGCTGCCCATCTCTGCCCGGGCAGGGTCCATGGCGAGAATCCGCGGCTCGGTCGGGGTACAATAAGAGTGGCAAGGACCCAATCAGGTCACATCTGCATTTCAAGATGCGTCGGCCACATTGTCCACGACGCACTGGGGTGTCCCAACCCAACCATGCAGTAACGCGTTTGAGGAGCCGAAGGCAAAACAGCGGGAACCATAAGTAGCCACGAATAAATAGCTCTCACACCATAGATCACCCGGGCCATCCCAAACGCTCCTTGCTCCAATGGAGCCTAACATCGGCGGGTTGCCGTTCCTCCCGCAGTTAATGGTAGTCTTCTTCGGATGGTACTACGAGACGTGGCTCGACATGACGATGCGCGCGTCAATGATGTTGATAGAAGGTCGTATGACCCCCGACGACGCGGAACATTACGACGAGCCGCGAGCTGCGACTAGGAAGCGGAAACGCGGTTTCTGGCAGAGGCGGTTAGACCTCTGGCAGAAGGAGATCGATGACCTTATGGATGCTCAATTCCAGGACCTATTTCGGATCAATCGAGGGATCCTTGACCACATAGTAGAGGGCATGCGAGACATATTCCTCCCTTACATTGCGCGTCATCTCATTCCGCTGCACGTCGCAATTTTAATACCCATAAAGTATTTCGCCACGGGCATGAGCTTCCTCGACATATCGATGTGGTTTGGTATCACAAAAACGCTCTGCTATCTTCTTGTGGACGTCTTCCTCATGAATTTCCCGCGTGTGTTCAAACGTGAGTGGGTGAAATTTCCTACTAGGACAGAGATGGCGCGCATGGCCGCGGAGTTTAAAGACATCAAAGGCATACCTTGTATCATTGGTGTCGTCGATGGCATACACATACAAGTGCGCGGCATCGACTCGCACCGCACCGACTACTTCACGAGGAAGTCTCAAGATGCAGTACAGTTGCAACTCACTTGCGACGCGAACGGTGTGATTTGGGATTACGTGATCGGGTTCCCAGGGACTGCACATGACAGCCGCGTTTTCGTTAGTTCAAATAGTAGGGGATGTGGCTTATCCGCTAAGGGATTTTTGCCTCACCCCTTTACACGCGCAGAGTGGGAGACTATTCGAAGGGTGGCAACAAACCTAAAATTACTGCCAGAGCGCGACACGGATGTGTATCGAGCGCTACATAGGCCTCTACAAGGGGCGATGGAGGCTTTTTGGAGGATGGAACGAATGCCGCTTGTGGCGCGTTCTTGCCGGTGCATCGTGTGGAGTGGTCCTGCACAACATGGTGTTCGGGATGAGTGAGGTGAGGCAGCGGAGTTTCAATATGAGGTGGGACCCAATGCTTCGGCAGAAAGACCCATGGTGGGCGTGGGGGGATTGCTGACCCGGAATGGCGCCCCTGCCTGCGCAACACGCTGGCAGAGCTGCAAGGCGATGCATTCCTTGACGCGGCCGCCACTCCAGTCGCAGCATCAGGACGCGGGTCACCGCCTTCGTCGACGGCAGGGGACGACGCCGAGTCGCGAACGCCACTAGAGTAGACCGCTGTCGGGCTCGTCGGCGCCGCGGGAGGTGGGCGGGGATCCGGGTTGGCGGGCGGCGGTCCATCGCGTGGCACACGCTGGTAGAAGCGGTTGAAGAGGCCCTCGTTCCTCGCCATCCTGTCCTAGTGACACTCGCGCAGTGTGTTGGCGAGGAGCTGGGCGCCCGCCATTGTGGCCGGCATGGTGACGCGACGACGGGGAGGTTGTCCACCAGCGGCGCCTGGCTCGGGGTTGGGGGGGGAGGTAAGGGGCGGAGGGGGCAGGGGGGTGGTTATGAGATGGTTAGATGCAGTGCATAGCACGATAAGGGGCCCGGTTGACCGCGGGCGGATAGTTAAGATTTGCTGATGTAATGCCCTTTGCTAAATAACACAAGCCCTCTGCAATTCACATACTAGACCCGGCAGCCATGGCGCGGGCGCGAGGTGGCGTGACGCCGGGGATAACGGTGGCGGGGTCCACGGTGTCGTCGCCCGCACCACCTTGGTCGGCGAGGTGCGGTGTGACAGATGCTGAGTGTTTTAGCATGGAGTCCACAAGCTCGAGCCACGGCGGCTTGACGACTGTCTCGCCGCCGGATGCGTGGTCCCCTCGTCGGATGTCACGGTACGTGGTCTGCAGGCGAGCCCACTCCGCTTTGCACGCCGCGCAGTTGCGCTCCCATCCCTCTTTCTCGCGTCGGAGGTGCTCGGCGAGGCGGTCCCAATACTGCGTCGCCTGCTTTCCGGCACTCGCCTTCATGTCTTCGCCCAAAAACCAATGTAATGTGGCAAGGATGATAGACTCCTACATGCGCCACTCCTTTTTTGTGGCCTTCGGCGGCGGCCCGGGACCCACGCCGTTCATCAGAGGTGTCCGCGGCATCGGGGCGCTATATTCGGACGGGCGGGACGGCGTGGGTCTTTTCGACGGTGGCGTCTCCCATCCTTCATCGGACTCGTCCCCATCTCATCCGTTGGCGTTCATCTCCACCTGCCATTCCTCCTTGGCATCGTCCTCCTCGGGCTCCGCTTCCACGATGTCGTCCTCAACGTCGAACAGTCGGCGCGAGGGCTGGCGCTTGGGCGCGACGGGGGCGCTTGCAGGCCGCTTCGCCGGTTGCGGCGCTTGCTTCGTGGCGGCTGCAGTTTCCTGGGTGGCGCCGTATCCTGATGCGCTTACATGCCTCAGGATGCGTCCCGGCACCTGGCCTCCCGCCATTTGCGCGTTAACCATACGCACGTAGGGGATCTCGTTTATATCGCTGGAGCAGTCGTGCTGTTGTGGGTCTTTGCAGTTACAGGCCATGGCTCCTATGCGTCGCGTTGTGGCTTGTATATTGTCGCAATCTGCAATGCGACGCTATTCCTAGTCCGAGCTGTGTCTGGGGTACTCGCGCATGTGCCATTTATTATGGATGTCGTCGGGCTTGGGCTGTAGGTGGGACATGGGTCTCGGACTTGTCGGTGGTCGTGCTCCGTGCTCTTGGTAGGGCTGTTGCGACGCGCATCCCAGCTCTGGTTTGCGAGCCGCCCAGCGTGCCGCGCATTTCTTTGTTGTATCCGTCGCACTCTTTTTTGTCAAGTCCGTCGTGCGCGTCGGCCGCATTACGATCGGTGTCGCATGCTGTCGCGCGGGCGCCACGCGTCACCTCGGCTATTTCTACTTGTGCTTTACTCGGGCGTGCTTGTACACAGGACCAACCCCTCGCCGGTGTGCGACGCTGAGGTGGGCGCTCTGGTTTCTGGACCCGGTGCAACACGAACGTCACGTGGATCAATAATAATTCTCGGGTTTTTTTATAAGGATCAACAATGTAGGAATTTGACATTAGACAGAACCACCATGTTTGCCTCTTACTAATCATTCATTCTCATTCTGATATGGTAGCACGCTAGTTAGGTTCCCCCCCCCGCCCACCCGTGCTTCTGCCTAAGGCCTAGTCCTAGCCGCCCCGTTAGCGCCCCGTTGGCCCCGTTAGCGCCATGCTGGCTCCTTAGCGCCCCACTGGCCCCGTACGCCCCGCTGGCCCCTTAGAGCCCCGCTGGCTCCATAGCGCCCCACTGGCCCCGTTAGCGCCCTGCTGGCCCCGTGCGCCCCGCTGGCCCTGTGCGCCCCGCTGGCAACTTAACGCCCCGCTAACATTGTTAGCACCCCACTAGCCCCGTCGAGCCCCATTAGCCCCATGCGCCTCGCCGGCCCTGTACGCCACGCTGGCCCCGTTAGCCCCGCTGGCCCAGTTAGCGCCTCGCTGTCTCTGTCGAGCCCCGCTAGCCCCGTGTGCCCCGCCCGCCCCGTCCGCCCCGCTGGCCCCGTTCGCCCCAGCTGTCCCCGTTAGCGCCCCGCTGGCCTGATCGAGCCCCGCTAGCCCCGTGCGCCTCGCCGGCCCCATCCGCCACGCTGGCCCCGTTCGCGCCTCGCTGGCCCCCTGCGTGCCGCGCTAGCCCCGTCACACCCCACTAGACCCATGCGCCCCACTGGCCCCGTAAGCGCCACCATCCCTGTGCGCCCCGCTGGCCCCGTTCGCGCCCCGCTAGCCCCGTCGCGCCCCACTGGCCTCGTGCGCCCCGCTGGCCCCGTTTGCCCCGC